ATCCATGTAGAGTTTTCCTGGTTCTTAATATGCAAGATTTTTTTATTGTGTAGGAGTATTCTTTGTCTTTAATAAGCATCCTAGTTAAACAATAATATATCTAAAAAACAACAACCTGAGCAAAGAAATGTGTTCATTTTCAATAATAATAACAATAATATAGTTTTACATTAAGACTATACCAATCATGAGGTGATACGTCAGTTAAACATTTTTTCACTTCTGTGGTGTATGGAGGGGGTATTATGGAATTATTCAGAAGATTGTTGCAGCGAAGAAAATCTTCTTTTCGACGAAGTCATCATCTAGGCTGAACATTCGTGTATTTATATCATATGGATGGGAAAGTTCCAGAATAATTTCCAGTTAAGGGTTAAATTAATAAAAATTAAAATTAGGAATTAAAATGCCATAATAAACAGGGGGACGCATAAAACTCAAATAAAGTAGCATCATAATTACAGAGAAGATTGACATTAAGCAAATGGGGGTTAGAAATGTAGAAATAACAAAACGGACAGGGTGTTTGGATAAAAAAAACTAATGTGATGAATAATTGTTTATGCAATCAGGGATTAAATATGTAGAAATAGTAAAATGACAAAATGAACAGCTAGTTCGGATATGAAAGTATGGTATGTCTTCTTAATAACTCCTTTGACACAATGTGTATATTCCGTGATTATGGAATTCGAAATCAGTTAGTTTGTAGAGGTTATCAACAAACCGTTACGTAATCAATACATTGTGAAACAGTGATGGCTAAAAAGTGTAGATGAGTGAATTTCTTAAGAAAGACAGGATACGATTATGTTACTTGAATTAACTGAAACCATGATCATAATGAAATTTTTTCAAAAAAATTAACAAGTCAAATGATAGTTATAATGATAGAGCAAAGTGTGGATGGCCACTTTAAAGACAGGAACTGTATGAGTTTCTTTTGAACCTACAAATTTTGTTCGTTCAGGCAAATTCCGATTGCCTGTGTTGTTTGCAAAAGTCAAACTCTTACAGCATGCTGAAGGTTGAGTGAAATACAATAAATTAATTTAAAAGCTGAGTTAATATCGACTTGATGTCTTGTATAGACCCGGTGAGCTGGTATGGAGTTACTTATTACTTTATCTGATCCTTTGCCTAAACAAGATTAGTAGTTTTCAGAGACACGACAGTGAGTTTGCCTAACCAGCTCCTCATTTAAAGCAGTAAAACTGGCAAACAGATACAGAAGAGTCAAAAATAGGCAGTTTTTATTTGTTTAGCGTACTAAGTAATGACTAGCTGGTCAATGAATGGCATAACCTAGCTGAGTTGAAAGTCATTTAGATGATTCTTCTCAGATATTGAGATACAACTTCACTATTAACATCTCACGTGAAATGTAGTCTTAAGAACACTGATTTTTCTCGGGTTATAGGCACCTTTGACTTGATATTTTCTAAATCAACGTGTTTACTAAAAAAATAAATAACATTTAGTGTTTTCATTAGATGAGCATTTCGTATGAATAAATCACACGATAAAACTAGTCAAAGTCAATATTAAAATAAAGAGAATAAGAAATTATGCGTGGATTCAAGCTTTAGCGATGAAAAATGTATGTTAGCTGTTAACTTATTTGTATATGTCACGTGTAAAGCATAAAATCGTACGATTTTTGACGTTATTCAACACTTTCAAACTGAAGATAAGGTAAATAAGATGAGAATAAATTTTAATTGATATAATAGCAAGTATCTTTGTGTATACGAATGTTACAGTGATGTTTAACTTTCCTATGGTCAACAAATAGTGGTATGATTAGGTACCGTATACATAGAAAGATGCAAGAAATGTAAAATGAATTTACATTCCCCCAAAAGTAACCAAATAGCATTTTATGATACTTAAAAAGGACAAATTCTTGTTCTAGTCATATAGAAACAATGTTCAATCTCTCATTAAGCGGTATTTTTGAGGACGATACACAATACCAAGTCACTGTAGTAAACCATATGGAGGTAGGATTAGACACAATACACTAGTTGCCGACTAGTGTCTAATCAAAAATACCCAATAGAGTCCTACAGGAGGTCAACTGAGGGCCTGAATAGCGCAGTGGTAGCGTCTATGTCTATATCACTGCACTTGTGGAGTCCTGAAAAATAAACCTATCCAATTTTTACTACTATGTAAGAAATGAAAATATTGTACATCACTTTGTTTTAACCATAAACTCTGTACTTTGAACTTTACCTCGGGTTTTGAATAAACATATAGTTCTGACTCCAACTCACCGTCTTCTCCACCGTCTCAACTGCCGTCGATCAATTTTAATCACCTGATTTCTATCTCAAATTTTTGCAGGAGCACCGTAGCTTCTTCCTACGTACTTTGGTCGACCTCCGGCAACTTCAACATTGGAGAATTAGTACTGGAGCAGTCTTCCCGCAGTGCCTCTGGAGTCTATTACGTTTATTGTGGATTTTGGATCTTTGTAAACCCAAGTAACGGAACTTTAATATATTCTTCCCGTAACTAAACTGATTTGGTATTTTATTTTCTATTTGAATTTGGGTAACTAAGCTAACAGAGTAAAAGGTCGAGCGACTTTATAGCATATCCCTCAATGACGCTTGTTGCTATGTTGCTATTGGTTTCAAGTGGCCTTGGTTTTGGGGGAAGATTTAACTGAAGTAATATTGCGATTTCATAACATAACTCAGTCTCATACGTGAAAGAAAGTTATTATCCCGAAATAAGCAGAAGTTGTTTAGAAGGTAAAGAGGGCATAATTTTTCATTTAATTTGTGTATACCTTTGTGCATCGAGTTGCGCTGAGTTCTTAGTGCAATGTTGCAATAAGAACTGTACAGTACTGCATGTAACTGTATTTACATCATGTGAAACATTACGAATAAGCACGTTTTTAGAATAAAAAACATGATTATTTTCATTAAGTTTAATAGTGAAGAATGGAATTTCTTCCACGTCATTGTTATTTCATTGAAGTTGTAATCTGTGTAGGTCCTTAAAGTAATAAATTCGGCGTGGAGAACTCCTATAAAAACCGAAAGTAATTTTAAATAAATAAATTTATTCTCATAGTACAGTACATGAGGGACGCCAGTTTACAGGCATCATCAAATTGTTACAGAAATAGAACCACATAATTCAGTCACAATATACGGGTGATAGCAAGATACGTTTTTGACATGTACGCCGGAGATTATAAGTATGCATACACTTGATAAATGTTAATCCCAATAGTATACAATTGTATACTATTTGGGATTTTGACCAGGCATTTTCATTGAAGACAGCAATTGAAGGTTTTCAAAGAACAACGGGTGACTCGTCATCTGAGAACACGGAGCCTGCAAGCCAATACAGGGTAAACCGGTAAGCTATTATTCTTGACTCATCTTCCCAGTGTTTCAAAGCCGCCAAAAAAACTTTTGGAGAATGCTGCTCCGTTGAGCTACCCTTCTCGGTTGTTGGCTGACCCGGATTTTCAGTTGGAGACACCGCCTTTCCGAAAGCCACCCAATACGGACAAAAATGAAAGGTATATTAAAGTTAACTAGAAAATTTCATTTCAGCTTGTCGTCTGTCCCTTCCACATCAAATTCCCACATTCCCTTTCCCGTGGATATGTAAGTTCAATTTAATTTAAAAATATTACTTACAGGTGCCCAAGCACTGACGAGAAGGTACTTGTACATCTTGTTCTTGGAAAGAGATAAGGGCTTTACGTCTAACAACACTAAATCATTCACAGATACTGTTTATATATATTATGAATAGCAGCGGGCGTAATACACTTCCTTGGATTAACAAGCCATCGCCCTCCTCGAGGGAAAATGCTAGCCAGCACATTTTAAGATTCAAAATGTGTTTTGTTCGGTCAGATGAAAAACTGGTATTGGTTCATGAAATTGTTGACAGTCAGCTAGAAAAACCACTACATATATGACTGCAAATCTTTGTTAATGGCACAGATGGATTCACTCTGTGTAATCTCACGTATCTATTCAACTCATGTTTTTCCTTGTCACTATTTATTCTCTCTCACATTTTCGCTCGGTAAACTTCCATTTAGTTTTATGTCCCTACCTTTGTGTCGTGCATGGAATGTAGTAAATTAAATAAGTGGACTAATACCAAATATGAAGTGTCCTTAACAATCCTGTAATGTAATCTTTACAAGTGCTTCGAATATTACTTCATAAAATTAGATGCAATAATGTACGAGATGCTGCAAATTCAACTATGTAACATTAGTACTGTTTTGGAACAAAACAAATTATTATTACCTTTGCATCTCGCTGCTGTGTTAATCTGCTTATGCCTATATTATTGCCGTATCCTAAGTATTGCACTCATTTTCTTAATTTCTTGCATTGTATATATAGGGTGCAACGAAGAAGTAACAGTGAACTATAAGTAAGTAACGCTGACGCCAGAAATGGTAGGAATCCAAAGAAATGAAATGAGTGGAAGACTTTGTTATAATCCTAGTAATCTCCTCTATCCCAATGCAGTACATGACTTATTTACCTGTGCATTTTAACGTGTCTTCTAATTATCTTATTTTTGTCTTCGTAGACATTGCCTAAGATGCCGTTGTACGCATCGTATGGAAGCAGCCTTTAATTTCATCTAACTTTCGCAAAGTTTGCAGCACGAAATGTCGAAATTTTACTGACTGGATAACGTTACAAATGGTGTTTATGTTGCTGATTCAACGATACACGAGACTTGACACGTTAAAGAGTTATGCTTGTAATAACATTACCTACATAGTAAATACAATGCTAATTACCAAAACTCATTACCTTCTCATTGCGTAATTATAAGAAAAAACGTTTGCCTTACTGTATTACTTATCATACTAAGCACTGAAAATTCCGCCTAGTACTCACATCTACTTGCGCTCTGCAAAATACTATCTACTATATTCGCAAAGGACTTAAACTTTTGTCGCATGAAACGGTAAAACAAAAAGCGTATACAGTTTAGAAGTTAGGATATATTTGCAGCTATTGACACAAAATATATGTACATCTTCCATTTTCAGACAAGAAAATTCTGAAAGTAATTCAGGGTTGCACGCAATGCACTGATAGTGTATTCATTACTATAATTATCCTGCATAACTGCGAAGCTTCTGTTAAACTGCCGGCGAAGTTGCAGTATCTCCCTGCAGGGTTTCTTTACTGAACTTTCACACGGCACACTAATTGGTAGTAACGGATCCCGCCAAAACCATCTGCGACACAGTCGAAGTACTTTTTCAACTAAAAGTATTAGTTTACATATTAGTAAGAGTTTGATTTACCTGTAAACTGAGGAATTAGAGTGTGAACCAGCAGCATATGCCGGCAAGGTATTCGTTGTGCCCTAAAAGTTCTGCAGGTACAACTTGAGTTGGTATATTCCACTTGGTGCAGGTAGATGTCGTCATTTATGATAGCCATATCATCAGTATACAACTCTATGCTCATTCGACGATTGCGGCTATAGTCCTTGGCAATTAACTTAGCAGCATAAGGAGTGAAGTTTCGTAATATCGGCATAACTGGTTCTGGTGCGTGGTACTTATGAGTCCGACAACTTTCGACGATGGCTTCAACACTCCGACGCTTTTCTACGCGTACACACCACTTATACGTCTTGTACATACATACGTGTAGGGGATCTCTTCTGTGGAGATATCGTTTCAGGTGACTGTGAGAGCTTTCAACTCTATTGTTGGTACTATTAAACAGCAATAGAGTATTCGGCATATATGCAGTAGCCCACGTTTCTTTCTTAGGCACCCAGTAACGCCTGACGTAATTCCATACCCTGCGATCAACCGTCCGAATGACGCTAAGATAGTGATAAAATCTAAATGGTTAGTAATCAATGCATTTACCTTTCAGGTGTCGCAGCTTTAACAAGGCGATATAGAAACCTGCGTACAAAAGGATTTCGAGTCTAAATATATCAAGTATTAATTAACTTCACTTCACCTTCCTGCTGAAAGCCCGGCATACATGAAATGCACAGATGACGATTTTCGCTTGAATTTGACTATTACGCACGGCGGATATCTCACAGCTGGCCGAATCCATTATGAAAGTTTCTGTAATGGACGTATTCTGCATCATTCTTTTGAATTCTTCCAAGATCCAAGCGACATCACATGCCCTTTCTCGTCTTGTCCATGCCAAAAAAACAGGCCTCCCATGACCCATATTGTCTGTTACCACCAACTGAAACAGAGAATATCTGATTAAGATTTGTCAACCGTTTCGCGTATAACCTACCCATCCTTATTGGTATTGTATGTTGAGTCAATACACACCACCTCCCCATATTTCCGATATAACTGCACCTGTGAATCCAGGGCGAAGCAAATTCTGTTAGTTATCCCTGTATTCGAATCTACGTACTCAGCCACCTGACCGCTTTGCCTTATTATGCGTATAACGTCTGGTCTCAAAGGCATGGCTTGCAAAGTAACTTTAAACTGCATCACTTACCTGGTCTCACATCCTTACGTAAATTATACACATCCGTGCTCGTCAAAATTTTATTAAATTTCTCTTCAGCATATTCCAAAACATCACCAACCTCAGATGTAGCCTTTACAACAGGTGCAATATTCTCCTTTTCATCCCCGGACAGGCGCCTAAAATAAGGATCACCTATCATAAGACGTTGTTCACATTTGTGATTGTGAACTGTTTTCGCGGCACAAATGATGAACTCATCTTCCTTGTAGCGTATACGAAACCCAGATTGGCAGCCGGTGTATTTTGCACTGCAGAAATAAATAATAGAATTCTTACGGTTTGACGCGTAAACCTGAACCTCTAGTTTTTCGCTTCATGCCATATGTACAACGATAGACTACTAATTTGTACTTCAACTCCTGAGATTCATGGTTCCGAATGCACTTCTTCACCACATAATGCGTATGAGTTGCCTAGAAGTACTATGCCATATATATGCATATGTCGTACTGATTCTAGCTGACTCAGGGCATCTTCTACTTGAACCCAACTGGTATACCGGCGACTGAACATAATTCCGTCAAAAGATCTTTTGGTGTCCACTGATATTGGAAGTGCAGGTTGGTTTCCATTGTCTCCAGGTGCCAATGCGTTCATAGGGTATCACTGTAAATGAAACAAGAGGCTTTTGAATTAAAAATTCACGAATCGCTAACAGAAGACAATAAAAAACTTCAAAGTTACATTGACTTTTAAACTGTGGCGGAATTCCTTACCAAAATTCCCGTTTTGAGAAGTTCCGGGCTACAGCCACAAATATTTGTTGAAACACTCGTGAACGAAAAATATGGACACAAGTGATAAAACGAAACTCTGCAGAAATCATTGAGACGCCACAAACAGGTGTTAACAGCAGGGATTTTAGGTGCACCCTATAATTTTGGCATGGAACACATTGTCAAGCATCCTCCTGCACGATGAGTGCCTTCAGGCTTAGAGAGAGCTTTTGAGAACTATTTTTTAACGAATTCAACGCAATTTAAGCCTAATAAAAACCAGAATAAAGTCAAATGTAGCTATCTACATCATACGCAACGACCCATCCAAGCTCAAATCAACGAGACCGCGCAAATGTCCTCAAGGTAAAACTTTTGGCGCTACTTCAAACAGGGGATATGCTTTATCAACGCCCAAAAGGTCCACCACAATAATTGGTGAACCCGTTTCGAACCTTTTTGTTTCGATAGTTAACTCGTTTTGAACATTTTTGTTGCTATTTTGGTCTTATAAACTCGCATTGCTTTAATTTTTGTTACCACAAGTTTTGCTATTTTGTATATCTCTATACTTAAATATTTTTTGACATAGGCTCCACCTAAATGTACCACTGTTGCTGAAGAAGGTAATAAAGGCGAAGAGACACAGAACTCTGCTGTTAACGCCTTGCCGGATTTAAGACTACCTCAATTTGATCTGGCTGAACCACGTGTCTGGTTCACAATCATTGAACAGTTGTTTGCAGCTCGAGGTATTACGTCGCAGATCGCCATGTATGGTTGCGTATTAGCAGCAATACCCACGGAAGTACTACGAGAGGTTATCGATGTCATAGACAGCAAACCTACAGACTCTCAATATGATAAATTAAAAGTTGCGCTCGTCCAGCGGACCACCCTCTCCGATGAGAAACGTATACAACAACTACTTACTTCGTGTGATCTAGGTACAAAAGAGCCATCCCAGCTACTTAGACATATGCGTCAGTTGATTGGATCACACAAAGTAGATGAGTTAATTCTACGTCAGATGTTCTTACAACGTTTACCACAAAACGTTCAACAAATCCTAACAATATCTTCTAGGACGACAGACCTTGAAGAATTAGCTAAGATGGCAGACGATATCATGGATGTGTTATCAAATAATGGCATAAATAGCGTGTCTACAGATTTAGTACCACCAAGCCCTTCCACATCTATGAAGGACGCACCAATGTTTTGGTTACTTTCCCAGTTAACATCTCAAACGCAAGACTTACGACTGGAAGTGTCCGAGCTTCGAGCACAAAGGAACCAGTCACATACGGTATCCAAGCAACGGCGATCAAGATCTAGACGACGTTCTAGAACACCGTCTCAAAGCCGTAACATTTGTTGGTATCATAGGAGGTATGGGCATAATGCCCTGAAGTGTGTCCGACCGTGCATATACAGCAGTGGTAACTCAACTCAGGGAAACTCCCCAGCCAGGCAGTAATGGCGACGGCTGTTACTGGCAATCACCCCAGTCGCCTTTTCTATGTGAGGGATTTGACTACCGGCACATTATTCCTGGTAGATACAGGCGCCGAGGTCAGTGTTATTCCCCCCTCACTATCCAGGCGATCAGCCAAAATACCTGGAAAACTTTCACTCCGCGCTGCCAACCAAACCAACATACAGACGTATGGCGAACAGTCAATGATTTTAAACCTAGGATTACGCCGACGTTTCACATGGATCTTCATAGTAGCTGACGTACGTCACGCTATACTAGGTGCAGACTTCCTAAGTCACTTCAATCTGTTGGTTGATATCAGCAAGAAAAAACTGGTTGACAATTGCACCCAACTCAAGATCCACGGTATTACATGTGACTACTCTGTTCATAGCATCTGTATAGAAAAGCCGGAGAGTGAAATGTTCTCTACTTTATTACAACGATTTCCTAAAATCCTTAAACCATCATACAACGTCGAGGATATATCTCATACAGTTACGCATAAGATCATCACAACAGGACAACCTGTGAAGGCACGTCCACGACGGTTACCACCCGATAAACTAGCAGCAGCTAAGTCAGAATTCGAACATATGATGCAGCTAGGCATCATACGACCATCTAACAGTCCATGGTCTTCACCTTTGCATATGGTACCCAAAACTAATCACGACTGGCGACCATGTGGAGATTATCGCGCTTTGAATAACGCTACGGTCCCAGACCGTTATCCTATACCCCATCTCCACGACTTCTCCTTGACCTTACATGGAAAGACCATTTTTACTAAAGTTGACTTGGTCAGGGCATATCATCAAATACCAGTCGCTCCAGAAGACATCGCAAAAACAGCAATTATCACGCCTTTTGGATTATTCGAATTCTTGAGAATGCCTTTCGGACTAAAGAATGCCGCTCAAACATTTCAGCGTTTTATGGACCAAGTTACCCAAGGTCTTGATTTCGTCTTTGTATATATCGACGATGTCTTAGTAGCCAGCTCATCGATGGAAGAACATATGGAACACTTAAGCTTGTTATTTCAAAGGTTTGAAAAATTTGGAGTTGTTATCAACCCAAAGAAATGTATTTTTGGTTCCCCTTCCATTGAGTTTTTAGGACATCTGTCAATCACGTCTCATAAACCGTTAATGCTCAGCTCTCGCTACGCTCGGGCCCACGCTGTTCTTCGAAGATTTCTCAGAAACACTTAGTTATAACGGACGCGAAAACCAAAACACTGATCTGCCGCTTTAGATTTGTTTATTGTTACACCAACATATAAAAGGAATAAGCGAACTAAGATGTAAACAAATATTACAATAATAAATCGTTATGTTACTTCTGACGATGTTTCACTCTTCTTTCTGAACAGCGACCGATGAGACGATGACTGTCGTATTGATGCCTCCGCGAAAATTGGGGAAGTTGATTTTGAGCAAACAACCAAGAATTGATCGTTCAATCTTCAACTCCATTGACACTCCCCGGCAAAAAAGGGATCCAACCCTTTTTTCCTTCACGACCAATGCACGTTGACTTGGATGCCATTGCGAGAACCTGGGTCACACGGACAGAGCTGAAATGGAAAACAAACAGAAAAGCCAACACACCACAAGCATACCCACAGCACAATCTCACACATCAATGACGACCTGCGCCTCCAGACAGAGACCTCCTCTTGACATCTTGCAACACAATCGCCATTTGCTAGAATGACTCTTGCAGAATGCAAAGTGACCATGGCAGCACCTCACGATACTCTACGCACATCCTCTTAATTACTCACTACCAATTACCATTGAAATCGCTTGTCACTCATTCTGCCTCAGTTCTAGTAGCGGTGACGCATGCGAGCCTCAGTCGTTTACACTCTTTCTCCCCGGCGTGTCGGACCGCAGCTAACAATTATCTCCGTGTGCGTTTCATTCTCAGCAATAGCCTAGCCTCCCCGGCGTATACGACCCATCTGCTGTCTCTAACATCAATCAATTCATTCACGGATGTAGAAGACAAGAAACAACTTCAGAAGTAATCACGACGAAAATTTTAACAAAATTATGCAATAAAAACAAGGCACGAAAACAACGAGTAAACACAACTGATCCAAAATCACAAATTGCGAAGACACACCACACGTATACACAAACAGTACAAATAACCTCGCGGATCATGTCTTGGTGGAATTATTTTGAAGAATTGGAGGACTTACACCAGTACGCCTGCAACCCTTCACAGGTTGACGATTGTAAGTTGTGGAATGTCCAGACACAAACAAGATTAACCAACAATTACATCAATTGGAACTCACACAACTATTTAACACAAACATATGTACAATCAACACATCAAATGTTGTGGATTCTGACACGACAAACTACCCTTGAAGAACTGTAGGACTTACAGCAGTACGCCTACATTCCTTCTCAGGTTGATGATCCAAGTGGAAGTCGTCCGGACACAAACAGAATTACCAACAGCTAGATGACAGATGATATCAATTCAGTATATACAATATGAACATATGTACAAAATCACACACCAAGCACATTGGACTGCTCATTGATGCGCTACCCTTTGAAGAACTGTAGGACTTACAGCAGTACGCCTACAACCCTTCTCAGGTTGACGCCCTAGGTTGGAAAATCGTCGCAGAGTTCATTTGCTAACTTCCTTCTATCAGCTATATCCTCAAATCTGAACGGCAACACGCCCATGTCATTGTATCGTAGAATATAGATGACCAACAAACACACGACATATCTCATCAACCAAGTATAGAAACAGAGTAATTTACACCAAAGATAATAACATTCAAATAGTAACTTGAAACTAGAAATGCCTTTATTCGTGCAAGTCAATTTAACAATAACTCTCTCCTTTACACTTGGCTTATCCACACTAAACTGACCATTGATATTCGTCCTTTCAAACGAACTGATACTACCATAGTCATTGCACAAGATACTTGAGTTGATGGGTGTCTGTTTCATTGTGGATGACAGCACCAACGATGACTGAGTGACACAAGGTGATGAACTTAGTGGTGGATCAGAAGCTGTTCTTGTTCGGCTCTCAGATAGTTGTCCAACTGCAAGATTACCACCACTGCTGTCTTTCACTACTAGTTCGGGTTTAGCACTATCATCTGATGATAGGTGGGCTACACGCTGATCAATTACACTGACTGTCTCACAAGTATGCACACCTTTTGGAACTGCATCTGCGTTCAATTCTACTTCACGTTGTAGTTGTACAGAACCTTTATTTAACTTAGCAGTAGTAGGCATATCCCTCATCTCATAATGATCAACCAAAGACAACTGTGAAGTATCATGATCATTATCACGAATATTCACTTTACCGTCAACTTCATCATTTTCAAACTCTTTAATAACAGAAGTAGACAATTTTGGTTCCTCCTCGCAAATCATAAAAGGTTTTATAACTTCACTCTGACTAGTAATACCTTGTAAACTTGTAGGGTCAGAACTGCACTCTGAAGCAGTAACTCTATTCTGTGACACTCTATTCAACAACGGCTTACCAGTTGCAACTACAGACTTCTTCACCACACCGTTATCGTCACACAATTCGGAGTCAGACCTGGAGTTTACATTTAGCTTATCACTGAACTTGCTCACTGGTTCACAGTTCACTTCTGTATGCACCTCTTGCACACGTGTAAAACAAAACCGTGTTTGTCTTGCATCTTGTAACTTATCTGTTGAGGATGTACTACGAAACCTGTTACACTCACTAGGTCTATATGCATTACTAGACATCATGGAGCTTTCTCGATATCCACCTCTCTGAGGCCTACTCGTCATCAATGATTGCATTTTGATCTCAGACTGCTCTATTCTAG